ATATTCCCATTATAATACTTTAAGTTTAAGGAAGGAATTATCACAAACAGAAAGATTATTAGTAGCCTTTCTTTTTCTCATGATTTCTACCTTATTATTCATGAATGTATTTTGTAAGAATACAAATAGTTAACAGAATAAACATGTTTAAATTGTATAATTTGCACAAAATATTTTTTTTCAAGATATTGTTTTTGCTGCTAAATTATACAGTCATCTAGTTTAATTTCATAGATTATATATTTTTATTCAAATGTAGTTTTTCTCTGTAATGAGGACGTGAGTATTTAGTGGATTGCGTTTAACAAAGGGTTTAAAAGAGTGACCATTAGTTCCACAAACACAGTATTGATATTCTGTAGTGGTGTAGAAAAAAAATAGCACTGGTCTTGGATCAGTATTGAACGATTCTTAGAATTTGGAATACTCTATGACTATGTAATCTTACACTGCAAAATAATAACTCAAAAAGATTAAAAGATAACATAATTATTTACGGAACCCTTAAATTTTATTTGACCCCTAGTTTAAAAAATGAGTTAGTTATTTTATTAGTTAATACATGCAGGTGTTTAATGTCTTTGTCTACCTGCTGTTTTTAGTCGCTCATGCTGGATGGTGATGCTGGGCCTCTCTCTCCCAACTCTAAACCGCATATATGCGAGCACTGCAATGCAGCCTTCCGCAGTTCATATCATCTGCGTAGACATGTCCTCATTCACACAGGTGAGCAGATTTTACTGTTAACTCCACTAGAGCAGAGAGATTCAGACTCTGTATTCATGGGATGGTTCTGGTGACCAACATTAATGTGGTAAAATGCATTCGCTTTTTATTTTACAGGTGAGAGGCCTTTCAGGTGCAGTCAGTGTAATATGAGCTTCATACAGAAGTATCTGCTGCAACGGCATGAGAAAATCCACAGCGGTGAGTCTGTTTACTTTTGTCTTATACTTGTCATAGGCAAATATTAAGATGGTGCCGAGACTCCTTTTTTTTCTTGCTTAACAGGGGAGAAACCATTCAGCTGTGACCAGTGCAACATGCGCTTTATTCAGAAGTACCACATGGAGAGACACAAAAGGACACACAGTGGAGAAAAGCCATATAAATGTGACACCTGTCTACAGGTGAATCCTCAGATAATTATCTAGTATGAAAGTAGTAATAATGAAAATGGATTTTGATTGAAATATAAAATATTTGGGTCAGTGACAAATAAGAGTGTCCACAATATTAGCTGCTATAGATAAACTGCTTGGAAGTATAACAAAGTGCAGTGAACAGTACAGCTATTTGTGCTACATGCAAGTGTGTTTGATAACTACCAGTTTGCATTATTGAGTGACATAGACTGTTTTGGTGTATCTAAAATAACTGGAAGTGGATGACACTGGGGGGGAAAATGGCTGTGCCCACTCTTACATTAAAAATTTTGTAAAATTGAGCCTTCAAGATGGCTAACTATGATCTATATCAGAGTCACTGGCTGGAGAACGAATGAGCGAGGAAATGAAGCATCAATTTTAGTATTGAGAAGCACCCAATGTTTTTTTTTTTTAACAAATGCATTGATCCGGACAAAATAATGAGCATGACCTAAAACATTTTTTTCTTGCTCTGTAGTATTTCTCACGGACGGATCGATTACTGAAGCACAAGAGAACCTGTGGAGAAGCCATAAAGAAAGGTCTGGACCCAGGTTTGCTGGACCTTGGAGATGATGACATGTGTCAAGGCAGCTACATACTCACTCAGGGAAACACTAGCGCCCCACCACGCAAGAGGGGCAAGTCCAAAAGTAGCAATAATGGAGGAGAGCGACGAAGGAAGAAAGGAGCAGCTGCGGGAGGCGGAGTGCAGATGGCACTCGGCCCACAAGACTATGCCTTAGACATCCCCAGTGGAATGGGGGCATTATCTTCAGGGGCTCTGGATGAGACAAGCATGGACAACCAGCATGGACACACACCCAAGCTTGTCTTTAAGAAAGGTGGCCACAAGGGAAATGACAAGGGTGCAGTTTCTATGGAGGAGCCCAACCACGAGCAGAAGCTGCTGATGCACAAACCAGGCTCTATGGACATGTCTGGTGCCGGAAATCTGGATGGTCTCGGCCTCCTCCAAACCTCCAGTGGACCCAAACAAGGAGGTACCAGCAGCAATTATGACGATGCCATGCAGTTTTTGAAAAAGAGACGGTACCTGCATGCTGCTAACAGCGCAGCTGACTTCAGCTCTGTCCACCTTCCACAGCCAACAGTAATCCAGGGTGGCATAGGAGAACCTACACTTGCCTTGCTTGACACCTCGCCTTTGGTAAGCGTTGACAAGCATGACAAATCAGGGATCCCAGATGAGGTGCTGCAGAGCCTGCTGGACCACTACAGCCACAAATCTGATGGCTCTCACCATGATGTGACATTCGATTTGCAAGATTCGCACCACGTGGAATTGCAGGCTGCCTCCGCCACCTCTGATTTGGGTCAGGATGAGAGATCTCCCGGCTCTGGAGACAAGAATGGGGTGATGAACGAGTACTCTAAATTCTTGCTCCAGACCCTGGAGAGAACCAGCCATAGCAGCAACTTTATTTTGGGCCCATCTGGACCCTTCCCAAGCCTCTTGTCGTCTAGCAGCAGCCCTGCTAGTACACTCTTCCCAGACAAAAACATCTACACCACCTCGCCACTGGAGTGTGGATTTGGACAGCCTGTTTCTTCTCTTGCATCTTCCTCCTCAACATCCCTAAGCAAGTCCCATTTTGGAATGCTGGTTGGTTCTCCGTCAACTTCCCATGCCTTACCATCTTCTCAACAGGCCTTTCATCTCAGCAGTCTGGGGCCAGCCCCTCACCAGCAGCTTACCCCATCTCAAGAGCTCACCGACCAGCTGGAGAAGCAGCACTCGCCGCCATACCCTCTCAATGGTGGCCAGAAAGACCAGCAGTCCAAGAACAGTGGCTCTTCTGCCAACAGCAGCAACAACGGGAACGGCACAGGTGGCGGCTCGGCTAACGGCTCTGTCTACCCTGACCTCACTGCCCTGGAACCATCTAAGCAAGTGGACATGCGTTCCACCTACCAGATAGAGAACTTCGCCCAAGCCTTCGGGTCTCAATTCAAGTCTGGTCGCCAAACCCCACTTGGTTATGGTGGAGACCCGCGAGTGGGTGTCGCAGAGGTTGACCACAGGATACAGCGGACTCCCGTGTCTGAATTCTCAGGGTATACTAGTCTGTTAGCAGATGTCAACGAGCCAGCTAGCTCAGGATCCAAAACCCCCACAAGCCAAAGTTACAGGTAAAGGTTGAGGGAGCATACCTGACCCTGTATGTGGGATGAGGTCTGTCTCCAATGCTTCCCTCTCCTCGCTGATTAAAACTTTAATTAATACACTGCCATTAAATGTCAATAGAAGACATTACCAGGGAAGGTCATCAAGACCTCAAATGCAATTTTTCATGTTCTTCTTTTTAATGTGTTTTAGTCATTTTATTTTATTAGCATAGTGATGTAAGAGTAGATTTAAATGAAATTTCCAGTGAAATTAGAGGCTAACGAAGGAATTTTTCAGAAATCTTGTATGTTTTAGCAATCATAGTCCAATTGTAAGATTAAATTAAAAATGAAAGATGTTTTACAATAATAACAGATGTCAGGGAGTGGCCCAGTATTCAATGGCAAAAAAATGTATTGTCTGTTACAATTATCCTAAAGTATTACTCAGGAAAAAGCAGTAACTTTTTTTAAAACGAGGTGCACTAGCACCCTTTTTTTACAGGTGTACTTTTGAAATGACAGTGAACATTCTTGTTTTTAGAAATTCCTTGAAGAAAAAGACAAAGCCAATCGGGAATCTGCATGTTCAGTGGTATGACACTGGAAACTCTTTCCACTGCATCCATTGCGTTTGTAAAGTTTATGGTACTTCCAAAATCAGTCTGAAAACACTTTCATCCCTAAGGGCCTTGTTTAAAACACAAAAACATACTGGTAGTCAAGTAGGCAGATAGAAACATTCAAGCGTATGTAGATATTTATTTGTAGCTACATGGAACTACATAACTATTGTCTCAGGGTGAGCAGTAATTCTTATCCCCTTCTTTAAACTTTACTTTTTGTCAGCTGACATCACTTTGATCTCTCAAGGAATCAAATAAGCACTTTTATAAACCACCGAAAGCAAGAGTTCAGATTCAGGACACATAAAACTATTATTTTTGATGAAGAAAGCTGTGATTTTTACAAGTGCTGGAGGGAACCGCAAATCTGCCATAACAAAAGGCAATTTTTGAATATTCATTGGGGGTATAGGTGATATTTTCTTTTTATTAAAAACACTGTTATTGGACATGAATGCCACTTTTTTTATATATATAGTTGTGGGCTTCTCTGAAGCATTTTTGCTCTGAAGGTGTTCAGGTATCATGACTATTTGACTTGGGCTGAACAGCAACAATTGGAGTTCTACCTCTTATTGTGTAGTTTTGAATTTCATGCCTGACAAAATTGCAAGCTTCCCATTTAAATTATTGCAGGGAGAAGAACCTAGTGAATCGGAAGGACCTAAACCTGTGGTGTTTTTGTTATGGAATGAGCTGTGAATTAGGGAAGGACTTGATGTTGAGACGAGGTGTTTTCTTTCCAATGCAATTTTTGATGCCCTTAGAAAGAGTGGTGGGCTTCTTTGTCTTCCTGTTTTTTGGCCCATGCAAGACTGTCTGTTGTGAGGCCTTTCTGTGATCTTGCCCTTTTTTCCCCCTTGCCTTTCACGGAAACCTGTCCCAGAGAAATGCCATTACTTTGATGGTGTCAAGAACAAAGTCTAAATGCTGCACTCCAAACTTGTTCCTTGCTTTTATAGAATGAAAAGAAAAAAGAGTGGCGTGAAGAGTAGGATTGACCTTAAAATACCTCATATCATTGTAAAAATAAGAAAACCAGGGACATGTTTCATGTAGTGAAAATATTGTAGTATGTGTCAGCTTATTGTATAATCATATAAAGCCACCTGTGTTTACATAAAGCTAATTTGTTGGAGTACCATATTATTATTTTTTTTTTCTGTTAAACGGTGATGCCAAGCAGTGTTTCATTGTAGAGTAATCCCTAGACTTTCATGATTTGTCTCATATCCCCCTTGTTTTTGTTACTTGCCATGTGTTTTGATATGATTTCTAGAGAGACTTTGTTTACAATAATGTACAAAAACACTAAAAATGTTTTTGTTTTCATTTTGTTTCTAATGCATGATATGAATTTTTTTTTTTGTTTGTTTTTTATGGCTTTCCTCTGATTACTATTGCACCAAATGTTTGTAGCATATATTGTCCCGACTTCAGTCTAATTTTTGTCACAGGGCTGTACGTGTCAGATGACTTTATAAATGATTAGGTAAGCCAATAAAAACCTTTTGTTATAAAACAAACCCTATTTTAACATTTGTCCAGATAAGGTTAGTGGGGTAACATTAGGCCAGTTAATACAGCAGGAAATGAGAATTTTTTTTTTTTTTCATGCTCTGTTTACTGAACTCTCAGTAATGATGTTCCTGAGGTTGTGATGTGGAAAAAAAAAATCTATGTGATTCCCTTGGAATATGTATAGGAATGTGTTTTTGAATCGATTTAATTATGGGTATGTCACAAGAAGATAGAGAAGAAGGTGTGTGAATGACAATGGGATTTAATTGTGTACAGTATAATGTAACTTTTTCTTGTAAACCAGTCATGGCCAAATTAAATGACATCTCAAAGGTAAGAAATGAGGATAATAATAATAAGCTGATGACAAATTAGAAACAATTTTTGCAAGTACTGTGAAGAGTACACTTTTTTTTTTTGCAAAATATATGTTTAACCCAACCTTCTGGGTAGTAGCCCAACCACTGGGTCAAAACAACCCAATAGCTGGGTTTGTCCATATTTTACCCAGCGCTGGGTTATATTTAACCCAGCATTTTTTAGAGTGCAGCTGTATCCATAACTAACAACACAGGGAAAACACATCAAAATATTCCAATTCTTTCATGGAAATTAAAAACTAAAATCTATGATAAGCAAATGGTTTGAATTAGATGTATTAAAGTATGTTTAGTAAAAAATGTAGTTGCTTTGCCATTTACCAAACTGTAGTGTTTTAGAACTAACTTTTAGGAGTTTGTACTTTAATTAAAATTAAATACTTAACGTGTACTCTTAATTCATTTTACTGAATTTAATTTCTAAGGAAATGAACATACAATTGCAAAAAAAAATTAAAAGGGAAAATAGTTTTGAGTTTTTCAAAGGACATGCCATTTACCTCTACACTCTAAAAAATGTTGGGTTAAATACAACCCAGCACTGGGTGAAATATGAACAAACTCAGCTATTGGGTTGTTTTGACCCAGCAGTTAGGTTAAATCGGGTAGGCAAGTTCGGTCCTAGAGAGCCGCAGTCCTGCAGAGTTCAGCTCCAACCCTGAAAAAAAAAATCACCTGCCTATAGCCTTAGTAATCCTGAAGACATTGATTAACTTGTTTAGGTGTGTTTGATTAGGGTTGGAGCTGAACTCTGCAGGACTGCGGCTCTC